ACCCAACCGCAACAGCGAAACCCATTTGACCCCCAAAGACGAGTTCAGGAAGAGGTTCCAACTGATGTGGTTCTGGAGACTCCAGCTTCAGATGCTGATATACAGGCTGAGTCTCCCAGTGATGAGAATACACCTGTGGATACTCCCCAGTAGAGACAGGGACGGGGGCAAGTTAAGCCCGTGCAGATGCCTACAGATGGGACGAAGATCCCATTAGAGCTAGATGAGTATAGTGGTTTGCCACTGTAATACCCCAAAATTTCTAGAGCATTAAAGTGAATTAGGGACCTAATTGTGAAGAAATATTATTAATGAACTTAATAGAAAATATTTTCAAAGTCCAGGGACTAAAAAGCAAGGAAATTAAGATAAGGATCAAGGCTGATATTTCTCTCCTCAGCCACGTGTTTCGCTCTTCCTCATCTTCTTCTTCTTCCCGACTCTTCCTCCCGACAGCCCCCCCAAGCCCCTCTAGCCACCGACTCATTTCTTTGAGAAAATTGGTGACCAAGCTTGGGATTTTCTCCCTCTTTTCTTGATAAGTAACAAGATTTGGGGCTTAGAATTCTCTCTCAACCCAGAAATTTCCGGATCTGCTCTTCTCTTCCTCCCCTGTCCGCCGGCTGCTATGTGGGTTTGAATTTCTGGGCATTTTTCGGTAGCCATGAGTTTCCCCCTGCAAATTGCCGCTGGCATCTTCTCCCTGCTAGCCCCGGTTTGCTTCCTGGAATTCTGGTAAGTGGCAGCCCCATTAAGTCCGAAATTACCCATTTAATTGCTGGGTTTTTGTCCATTTAGTTGATGCTTTGTGTTGTCCGAAATTTGTTGAGAAATGGGGATGAATTTGGGTAGTAATTAGAGCATAATTAAGCTTAATTCATGTGTAAATTGCTTGAGTTGGCTACTGTGATTTTTGGAGAGAAAATCCCATGAGATAGGCTATGGTTTTGCCAATTTTGGAAGTGCAGTCACTGTTCATGCAGAGAATTCTGCAATTTGCTACTGTTTTCTGCTTCTTTTCAGTCCGTTTCTGCTCTGAAAAATCTGATGAAATATCCATCTTTCTGGTCTTTTAGCTGGCTGTAGTTGAATTCTGGAAATATCAGTTACTGTTCACGAGCACTGTTCACGTCGTGGTCACTGTTCACACACCGAGGGTCAACAATTAATGGGGATTTAAATGATTAGTTTGTGATATAAGAATGAATTTGGAGATATATGATCATGTGGAGATTGGTAGAAATAGCATTGTGATTAAGAGTGATCCTAATGGTGATTTTAGTTTGAAATTGTGATAGTACGGTATTAATTCTTGAGTGTTTTGATTAGGTTCTGATCGTTCTGTCAGTTAGCACTGAGATTGAGTGCTCGGTTTTATGCGAGTGAGGTAAGTAAATTATGGTAATGCCTTTCGATTTTAAGGCATGTTTTGATTTGTTTTTGAAATGGTGGCGGGACTAAACCCATTTTATACAAGTAAGTATGACTGATTTGAAGTGAAAGTTTTATGCTTTTCATTGAATTAAACATGCCTACTTGGAATTTAAGTGATTGTCCTGATGATCTGAAAGTGATTGTGAATTGTGATTTTCCTGTTAACTTTTGCCTGTTTTGTCTCCGATATGGTCATGTATTAGTGACCCTGCTAGTGGGGGAGGTTATAAACGCTAGCACATGTCGACATGTTATTGATAGAACCGTTCGTTTGAGTGACCCTGCTTGTGGGGGTTATACACCAGCAACTCGTGACCCTGCTTGTGGGGGTTATACACCAGCAACTCGTGACCCTGCTAGTGGGGATTGTACACTAGTAAATCGTGTGCCCGCTAGTGGGAGGTTTATAAACGCTGGCCATGACCTATAGAGGAGACGTCTATTTCGTTCCCGTACTCCGTTTTTCGTGATTACACTTGTTGGCATGCTATAAGTTTAATAAGGGCACTCCATATTTTACTTACTGAGTTATCTCATAATTTTTCCTTGTCCACCATTTCAGGAAGCGAAACCGAGGACGGGAAACCATGGGAAGTGACGAGTTAGAAGGCTAACCATTTTGAGATTAATATAGATTTTAGAAATAAATCATCCTGGTGTAAGGTAGATTTATTCTTGAGATTTTGTGATTTGAATAAGTTCCGAGCCTTGTGCACTTGTGAGACCTGTCTCACGAGTGTACGGCGTCTGTTACGCCCTCGAATTTGGGTTCTGGGGCGTGACAGATAAAGTGGTATTAGAGCTTAGGTTTGATTAAGATTTCATGATGTGAGAGTCTAGGTTTAAGTAAATACCTAGGATTTGTTTTGGATTTGGATAGCCAATGGATTTTAGAACCGTGGTGAGATGAGTGATGGGTTATACAAGGGATGATTTTAATAGCAAATCTCGGTGATTTGAGTTAGTTTTGGAAAATTTTGTTTGGATAATGAACTGAGCTGACAGTGATAAATTTGGAATTTGTGTTCGGAAATGTTGATGATTTCAGTGTCTGTGTGAATCTGCTTGTAAGCTTCTGCTTTGGATTTAAAATAAGTTATTTTGCATTTATAGCGGTGATTAATTTGGTTCATTTCTCTTGTTTCAATCTTATGATTTTGGTTCAATATATCTGTTTGATATTTGATGATTTTTGAGTGGATAACTTGGTTTGCCTGTGTAATGAACTTAGATGTGAAGTGACAATGATCCATTAAGAAATTTCATGCTTTTGATTGAAATCCTTATGGGATTTGAGTCTACATATTAGACGTATCTATGTCATGCCAATGTCTAGGCTGTGGTTGATGCCACTTAGTTTCTGTACATATCCAGATGCCCTTGCAGGAAAGGAGATGGTTTTTCACACCTGGGTGAAATTTTTCCTGCTAAATAGCCTACCAAATATTTTGTCTGAACTTGCTTCTGTTCTTGAAATGGTTTGGAAATCTGTTATTGTTCAAGTTTTGGACTTTGCATTTGTTTTGTTTCTTAAGTATCGATATCCGAATATAAATTATGTCGGGTGGAGTTCTTGAAGTTAGCCTGACATATGCTAATGTAGAAAATTGCTTGATATTTGGTTGTGGAATCCATTCTAAACTGTCTTTGAAATTACTTTTGCTTTGACACCTACTTTTGCTCAAGTTCTGAATTTTATGCTAGTTGTTATCTTGGTATACCAATGTACCTGTTAATTTCTTGTTTTAAGTTTCATGTGGACACCTCTTTAGGAGGGGTGACGACTTCTAGGGATATATTTAGAAATATCCCTATTTTGGTTATGGATAGATAGCCTAATGCTGATATTATGTCTTAATATCTTTGATTGACGTGATTGTAAAAATACCTTGCCATCATGGACTATGCTTTAAGTGGGTTATCATCACAGTATTTAGTGCTCTAGAGTTCAGTTCTAGAGGAATGGTTCTTTCCTCTATCCGCTTAGATTCTTGCCTTGCCATCCAATAACACGTTATTGATTAACCTTGGGGAGTGGCAGAATGTATAAGGCCTTTTACATTAGGTTTATTTGTTTAAGTATTCATTTGGGCATTCGTACATGAATGCAAACATAGACATACATGAGCATATACACGCATACATGCATGCACACATGAGCATTCATACATGCATGCATAAAGGCATTCATTCATACATGCATATACATGCATCCATCCATTCAGGATCCTATATATCCAAGAGATGCTTATCCGTCTCGGATAGGGTCCCATCGTTTAGTTGAATTCATCGTTAGACTTCCTGCCATAATGTGTTTGATGAGTGCCGGGTCTTGATTTGAATCAAAGGCACCACATAATCACGTTGATAACTCTCAAGTTTAGTTACTTGTGTTGAGGCGTGAAGTTATCTCCTGCCTCCCAAATGACCATTGGAGAGGGTGGAGATTGAGATTTGTGGTTGGTTTGTTAGAGTAGTGATGAGTACTTATTGCATGTGAAGTGAATCTGACTGTAATACCTTTGTAAATGTTAGCCATGTATGTTGAAATTGGGTTCTTGTGATTGTGACACCGGCATCTATCTTAAAAAGGGTAAGATAGATGGTCTGATTATCACTATTTTTGTCATTTTTCTGCTTGAAAATTTGATTGATTCTGTTGATGTCTTGACCTTGGAACTATTCTTGAGGTGGTGTTGTTTTCATGGTAGTTGTGGTTGATATCGGAGTGGCGCAACGGAAGCGTAATAGGCCACGTTTTGATCATCGAAAGTCGGTGGGGGCATTTGTTTTGTCTTAGATTGTGTGAAGCCATTCACCAGTCTAAATGATTTTAGATTTGAGTTTTGGAGACAAAACTCCTTTTTAGGAGGGGTGGATGTAATACCCCAAAATTTCTAGAGCATTAAAGTGAATTAGGGACCTAATTGTGAAGAAATATTATTAATGAACTTAATAGAAAATATTTTCAAAGT